TGATGAATGGATGTGGAGGATATATATATGCAAATGGAAATAGTTTTTCATGTTCTAGGATATTTTTCTCAATGAAGGCTAAACGTTTCCTGACATATTTATCTAAGTGTGTAGACTCATCCAAAATGAAACAGATGTAAAACACATGAATCGACTGTGACGGATGTGACGATGTGACAGAGGTACTCTTCTTGCTGCAAGGAACCCTGGGTAGGAGAGTGATTAGACAAGGTTTATTTATATTGTAATCCTGGCTTTGATAAACACTGGCTTCTAATCTAATCAAGCTGGCAAATGGTATTTGGTCAACTCCGAAAACACACAGGGCTGGCTTTCCCTTCAGTTTTCCCCTATTAAAAAACAAGACTAAAGCCAGTTTACTCTGCACAGCGTTTGTGTTGTCGGCTTCACTGTGCAGAGCTCTGTTGTTTTAGTTTGAGAATTATTTTGGTTGGTTGGTTTGTTGTTTAACACCGCACTCAGCAATATTCCAGCTATATGACGGCGGTCTGTAAATAATCGAGGCTGGACCAGACAATCCAGTGATTAATATCTTGAGCATCGATCCATGCAATTGGGATCGATGACATGCATCAACCAAGTCAGCGAGCCTGACCACCAGATCCCGTTAGTCGCCTTTTACGGCAAGCATAGTCGCCTTTTACGGCAAGCATGGGTTGCTGAAGACCTATTCTACCCCGGATCTTCACGGGTCAGTTTGAGAATTAAATCAGGCATGTGACGGCACACTCGGAAATTATTTAATGCATGATTTAAAAACATACAGAACCGTCAATGTACTGTCCCTTTAAAGTGTGGCATGTGATTAACGTTTTTAACTGCTGCCTCAAACAACTTGGCTCAATATCTCAACTACGGATGACCCCTGGGATTGTGTGTTTGAAAATATAGGCCTCACAAAGTCACAATATTCGGATCTCATGGTAAACATGGCCACCACATCAGCCATATTGAAGGGGTCATATTGCCTATGACCATTTCTGCATATTATAAGGACATATTGTTTATGTGTTCAAAGCAAAATAATGAAATAAAAGTTTTGTTTAGTTTTGTTTTATTATTGGCAATCAATTCGTGAACTGAAAAATTTAGGAAGTGTCGCCTCGATCATCACTCATTGCCTCCAGGTGATAACCAGTTTTTCTAAATATGCTAGTTGGTCCTTGATAGCCGGCTTCAGCATCCTCGCAGTATGTCTTTTCCCCTTCCAGGCCATGACTAGGTCAGCCTACATAAACGGTTTGTTGAGACAACATCTGTCGCCATGTCTACTTGACCAGTCTCATGTTTCGGTGTCAATATTGTGACAGACGGAAGTCGGCAACGTTCACCAGGTAGGATGGTGTTGGGCAGTAAGGATGACAATGACATCATTTTGTCCCATTTTATGTCAGAGCTCGGTGGACACACAGAGGATGTCTGTGCCTCCAGTACTAGCTAATTGTTTAACTTGTTTAAATTGTAAAAATGTTCTGATGTGAACTTTCATTATGGCAGTGGTAATCTGAAATATGGATTTTAGATGAATTTTTGCTATTTCATCATCATAATTGAAGAATATACGTGAGGCTGATTGTCCTTGTGTCAGCATCACCACGCTCGGAGTTTCAGTACATGTCCGTGAACTGGACCGCCAGAGGACTGTGTCAGCTAGTCCAAGGTTGTTTAAATCCACGGGTTTATTTGCGAAAAGTACCTGTTGTTACGACAGCCATGTCAACATCCCTGGCATGGCCTGGCATGGCCTGGCAAACCATGCGTTGAGAAAATAATCGGTGATATGGGCAAAAGTTACTTGATGGCGTTCTCTTGACATTTTAAGATATTTATTTTCCTGGAGCCTATCACAAAATGTGTTCAAAGTTGTTCCAGTGTTGTGTGAGTAAAAGACTGGTTAAGAATTTTAAGACAATTTTGTATTTCTTGAATTTAATCAATTTGAACACGGGGAGAAATTTGAATCTGTAGGGATGTGCAATATGACTGGTGTACCGGTACATAGCAATACGTCCGTCAGTAAAACATGCATCCTTATAGAACCCTTGCCTGGCAATATGTTCTGATACAGTCACAGAAGAATTACATGGCTGAATCAGAGTGTTTGTAAGCCTCACAGGATTGCTATAGAAGTGTTGTTAGCCAGAAACTGGTGTCAGAATCCAAGAGTTGTGCCCTGATTCCACGTGTTGTGCCCTGATTCCACATGTTGTGCCCTGATTCCACATGCTGTGCCCTGATTCCACGTGTTGTGCCCTGATTCCACATGTTGTGCCCTGATTCCACATGTTGTGCCCTGATTCCACATGTTGTGCCCTGATTCCACATGTTGTGCCCTGATACCATGTGTTGTGCCCTGATTCCACATGTTGTGCCCTGATTCCACATGTTGTGATCTGATTCCACATGTTGTGATCTGATACCACATGTTGTGATCTGATACCACATGTTGTGATCTGATTCCACCTGTTTTGAACTGATTCCACGTGTTGTGCCCTGATACCACATGTTGTGCCCTGATTCCACGTGTTGTGCCCTGATTCCACATGTTGTGCCCTGATTCCACATGTTGTGATCTGATTCCACATGTTGTGATCTGATACCACATGTTGTGATCTGATACCACATGTTGTGCCCTGATTCCACATGTTGTGATCTGATTCCACATGTTGTGATCTGATTCCACATGTTGTGATCTGATACCACATGTTGTGATCTGATTCCACCTGTTTTGAACTGATTCCACGTGTTGTGCCCTGATTCCAGGTGTTGCACCCTGATTCCACGTGTTGTGCCCTGATTCCACGTGTTGTGCCCTGATTCCACGTGTTGTGCCCTGATTCCACATGATGTGCCCTGATTCCACATGTTGTGCCCTGATTCCACGCGTTGTGCCCTGATTCCACATGATGTGCCCTGATTCCAGGTGTTGCACCCTGATTCCACGTATTGTGCCCTGATTCCACATGTTGTGCCCTGATTCCACATGTTGTGCCCTGATTCCACGTGTTGTGCCCTGATTCCACATGTTGCACCCTGATTCAACATGTTGTGCCCTGATTCCACGTGTTGTGCCCTGATTCCACATGTTGTGCCCTGATTCCACATGTTGTGCCCTGATTCCACGTGTTGTGCCCTGATTCCACGTGTTGTGCCCTGATTCCACGTGTTGCACCCTGATTCCACGTGTTGTGCCCTGATTCCACGTGTTGTGCCCTGATTCCACGTGTTGTGCCCTGATTCCACGTGTTGTGCCTTGATTCCACATGTTGTGCCCTGATTCCACGTGTTGTGCCCTGATTCCACGTGTTGTGCCCTGATGGGCCGACAGTAGGTCCCAGATTCATCAGAACTGAAACACATAAAACTACACCCTCTCTCAATCAATCTGTTTCTAAAGTGTCAGCTTGTTAGCTCTCAACATTAAATTATGTAAATTTAAATCTGTTAGACAGAAAACAGGTTGATTAAACAGACATTATCAACAGCTACAGTAAATCTGGTTCCAAGGCTGATGTGGTGGTGTGTGTTAGTTAGCTGCCAACACCTTATCCCAGTTTGGGAGATGTACCCGTCAGTGTGTGTCAGCCAAGTAGAAATGTGTAGAAGTAATTTTTTAAACTTAGGAAACAATATTTTCCTTGGATTACACCTGTATCTTTGACACCAAAAGACAACAAACAAGTTTGCTTTTTTGAAAAAAACTTTATTTCCATTTAAACTTTGTTTGGCTGTTCTGGGCGACTTTGTTGCATGGGTTTAAAGAATAGGGTTTGTGATTGGCCATTGCTACCAAGCTGTTGTGACAAGTGTGCTTTGTGGCTCTGCTACTTGTATGTCCAGCTTAAAGGACTTACTCCCACAGCGAAGACACTAACAGAGAAGGGAGGTAACTCTCATCCACTATTAGCATGCCATGTTGCTGCTGTGGTTGGATGTACGCTTAGCACGACTGAACTCATTCTGTTTAAGGCTGCTGTGGTTGGTCAGCCTCAGACATATGTGCTCAACATAATCCTATTTCTTTATTGAATGCATTAGAGTTGAATTGTCAACCCTCACCAAAACTGGCATTGAAAGATACCAGTGAGTGAGTGAGTATAGCTTTACGCCGCTTTTAGCAATATCCCAGCAATATCACAACGGGGGACACCAGAAATGGGCTTCACACATTGTACCCATGTCGGGAATCGAACCTGGGTGTTCGGTGTGACGAGCGAGCGCTTTAACCACTAGGCTACCAGACCGCCCCTTTGGAAGATACCAAATATTTGAGGTGGAGAATTTCAACCAATGTATATGAAGGAGAGGGGATGTGGAGGAGGGAAATATTTCAGTTTGTGAACCTTTTATGAAAATGATAAAATGATTTATTGAATGAGACATTAACAGGGTACAAGAACGCTGGAGTGTTCAGAATACAGATACTCAATAGTCGGTATCTTGCGAAACCAGCAGTTCCTCCTGAAGAACTATGGCACTGGGAGTGCTGGATGTACTCAGGGAACACAATTACATAAAAATGTCCCCAAAATAATAACTGTCCCTAACTTATTTTGTTCAGTATATACTCTTTCCTTCCCCAGACTTCAGCCTATGCCATTTTGTCTGGTGTTCTTTGTTAGTGCTGCATATTGCATTCAGAAACACCATCTTGCCATGACAAGGTGAGCTACATATAGTGGTGGACACATCTTGCCATGACAAGGTTCTTTGTTAGTGCTGCATATTGCATTCCGTGCCCCAGATTCCGAAACACTGTACATGTCTAGTTGAAGGGTTCTTCTTTGTCCTCCTAAATCTGTAAAGAAAGTAAATGACTGTTGACTGTTGACATACAAACTCTGTGATTGGTTGAGCTAATTATGTTTTGGTTTATGGAGACATAAACACAAACAAATGGCTTGGTTGTGCAATCAGATGCCACAGAATCACTTGCAACATATTTATTTTGTGCTAACCAGACTGTCTTGTGTTTCCAGGTTCTATGAATGTATAACAAAGTGCAACCCCCACTGATGGCGACGACGGGGACGCAGAAGGCAGGGGGGAAGTCACCACACTGCAAGGTCTGCGGTGACGAGTCGTCAGGATTCCACTACGGGGTGGACTCATGTGAGGGATGCAAGGTGAGTGAGGCAACTCGTCCCGCAGAGTGAGTGAGAGAGCGGGCATGCATGTGGGTAATTGTTATGACTGACGGGCCCCTGGTAGCCACAGGGTTTGGCAGAGAAGTAACGCTTCAGGCATTTGTTATGGAGATATATGGAGAGAGTGGTGGACACATCCTGCTATGGCAAGGTGAGCTACGTAGAGTGGTGGACACATCCTGCTATGGCAAGGTGAGCTATGTAAAGTCGTTGACACATTCTGCTATGGCAAGGCGAGCTATGTAAAGTGGTGGGCACACCTTGCCATGACAACATGAGCTACATATAGTGGTGGACCCATCTTGCCATTACACTGTGAGGTACATGGAGAGATTGACACATCTTGCCATGACAACATGAGCTACATATAGTGGTGGACACATCTTGCCATGACACTGTGAGCTACATGGAGAGATTGACACATCTTGCTATGACAACATGAGCTACATATAGTGGTGGACCCATCTTGCCATGACACTGTGAGCTACATGGAGAGATTGACCCATCTTGCCATGACAACATGAGCTACATATAGTGGTGGACCCATCTTGCCATGACACTGTGAGCTACATGGAGAGATTGACACACCTTGCTATGACAACATGAGCTACATATAGTGGTGGACACATCTTGCCATTACACTATGAGCTACATGGAGAGATTGACACATCTTGCTATGACAACATGAGCTACATATAGTGGTGGACACATCTTGCCATGACACTGTGAGCTACATGGAGAGATTGACACACCTTGCTATGACAACATGAGCTACATATAGTGGTGGACACATCTTGCCATTACACTGTGAGCTACATGGAGAGATTGACACATCTTGCTGTGACAACATGAGCTACATATAGTGGTGGACACATCTTGCCATGACACTGTGAGCTACATGGAGAGATTGACGCATCTTGCTATGACAACATGAGCTACATATAGTGGTGGACACATCTTGCCATGACAAGGTGAGCTACATGGAGAGATTGACACATCTTGCCATGACAACATGAGCTACATGGAGAGATTGACACACCTTGCTATGACAACATGAGCTACATATAGTGGTAGACACATCTTGCCATGACAAGGTGAGCTACATGGAGAGATTGACCCATCTTGCCATGACAACATGAGCTACATATAGTGGTGGACACATCTTGCCATGACAAGGTGAGCTACATGGAGAGATTGACCCATCTTGCCATGACAACATGAGCTACATATAGTGGTAGACACATCTTGCCATGACAACATGAGCTACATATAGTGGTGGACACATCTTGCCATGACAAGGTGAGCTACATGGAGAGATTGACAAATCTTGCCATGACAACATGAGCTACATATAGTGGTAGAAACATCTTGCCATGACAAGGTGAGCTACATGGAGAGATTGACACATCTTGCCATGACAACATGAGCTACATATAGTGGTGGACACATCTTGCCATGACAAGGTGAGCTACATGGAGAGATTGACACATCTTGCCATGACAACATGAGCTACATATAGTGGTAGACACATCTTGCTATGACAACATGAGCTACATATAGTGGTGGACCCATCTTGCCATTACACTGTGAGCTACATGGAGAGATTGACACATCTTGCTATGACAACATGAGCTACATATAGTGGTGGACCCATCTTGCCATGACACTGTGAGCTACATGGAGAGATTGACCCATCTTGCCATGACAACATGAGCTACATATAGTGGTGGACCCATCTTGCCATGACACTGTGAGCTACATGGAGAGATTGACACACCTTGCTATGACAACATGAGCTACATATAGTGGTGGACACATCTTGCCATTACACTATGAGCTACATGGAGAGATTGACACATCTTGCTATGACAACATGAGCTACATATAGTGGTGGACACATCTTGCCATGACACTGTGAGCTACATGGAGAGATTGACACACCTTGCTATGACAACATGAGCTACATATAGTGGTGGACACATCTTGCCATGACACTGTGAGCTACATGGAGAGATTGACACATCTTGCTATGACAACATGAGCTACATATAGTGGTGGACACATCTTGCCATGACACTGTGAGCTACATGGAGAGATTGACGCATCTTGCTATGACAACATGAGCTACATATAGTGGTGGACACATCTTGCCATGACAAGGTGAGCTACATGGAGAGATTGACACATCTTGCCATGACAACATGAGCTACATGGAGAGATTGACACACCTTGCTATGACAACATGAGCTACATATAGTGGTAGACACATCTTGCCATGACAAGGTGAGCTACATGGAGAGATTGACCCATCTTGCCATGACAACATGAGCTACATATAGTGGTAGACACATCTTGCCATGACAAGGTGAGCTACATGGAGAGATTGACCCATCTTGCCATGACAACATGAGCTACATATAGTGGTGGACCCATCTTGCCATGACAACATGAGCTACATATAGTGGTGGACACATCTTGCCATGACAAGGTGAGCTACATGGAGAGATTGACAAATCTTGCCATGACAACATGAGCTACATATAGTGGTAGAAACATCTTGCCATGACAAGGTGAGCTACATGGAGAGATTTACAAATCTTGCCATGACAACATGAGCTACATATAGTGGTAGACACATCTTGCCATGACAAGGTGAGCTACATGGAGAGATTGACCCATCTTGCCATGACAACATGAGCTACATATAGTGGTAGACACATCTTGCCATGACAACATGAGCTACATATAGTGGTTGACACATCTTGCCATGACAAGGTGAGCTACATGGAGAGATTGACCCATCTTGCCATGACAACATGAGCTACATATAGTGGTGGACACATCTTGCCATGACAACATGAGCTACATGGAGAGATTGACCCATCTTGCCATGACAACATGAGCTACATATAGTGGTGGACACACCTTGCCATGACACTGTGAGCTACATGGAGAGATTGACCCATCTTGCCATGACAACATGAGCTACATATAGTGGTGGACACATCTTGCCATGACAAGGTGAGCTACATGGAGAGATTGACAAATCTTGCCATGACAACATGAGCTACATATAGTGGTAGACACATCTTGCCATGACAAGGTGAGCTACATGGAGAGATTGACCCATCTTGCCATGACAACATGAGCTACATATAGTGGTAGACACATCTTGCCATGACAACATGAGCTACATATAGTGGTGGACACATCTTGCCATGACAAGGTGAGCTACATGGAGAGATTGACCCATCTTGCCATGACAACATGAGCTACATATAGTGGTGGACACATCTTGCCATGACAAGGTGAGCTACATGGAGAGATTGACAAATCTTGCCATGACAACATGAGCTACATATAGTGGTGGACACATCTTGCCATGACAAGGTGAGCTACATGGAGAGATTGACCCATCTTGCCATGACAACATGAGCTACATATAGTGGTAGACACATCTTGCCATGACAACATGAGCTACATATAGTGGTGGACACATCTTGCCATGACAAGGTGAGCTACATGGAGAGATTGACCCATCTTGCCATGACAACATGAGCTACATATAGTGGTGGACACATCTTGCCATGACAAGGTGAGCTACATGGAGAGATTGACAAATCTTGCCATGACAACATGAGCTACATATAGTGGTGGACACATCTTGCCATGACAAGGTGAGCTACATGGAGAGATTGACCCATCTTGCCATGACAACATGAGCTACATATAGTGGTAGACACATCTTGCCATGACAAGGTGAGCTACATATAGTGGTGGACACATCTTGCCATGACAAGTGATGGACAAGAGTGATGGAGACATTTTGCCATGACAAGGTGAGCTACATCGAGAGGATCTGCCCCTTCTCAACCTTGCAGCCAACATCAGACACCAGGTGAAACCTCATACACAGGCTACTTTGGCCAGGTCATTCCATCTGAGACAGTTCCTGGAGAACACAATGTGAGACTCCACAAGATCATGAAGCACTGGATTAGTGGGCACCTGCCTTCGAGTGCGGCAGTCCTGTCAGTCTAATCACACTGACCCCAGTCACCTTGTTCAGCCACATCCGGCAGGAGCAAATACACAAGACAATTTGGAGATACCTCACAATTGGGCTGCGATGTCCGTGGCTCTGAGAGCCCTCGTGGCATTCAGCCGTTTCCTGAAGCAGGATCTACCAGCTTGATTCTCCTCCTCTTGGTGCAACATGCCATTCTTTGATGCAGCCCTGTCAATGGTTTAATGATGACCAAGATTTAGTAACTTTTGCAGGCTGGACAGTCATGTACTTATTTCGATAAAGTCCACAGGAATCTTTGCTAAAGGTTTTGCAAAAGTTTGACTTAGATTACTGTCATGCTTATTTTCATGGTGAGGATTCTGAATAAAACTTTTCCCCTGCGACGATTCTAGTGTGAAAAGGGTTATCAGGTCTCCTTCATAGTACAGGACACTTCACTTCAACATAGATTTACAATAGACCTATCTTTAGGACTGTTATATCTCGTCTACACAGACTTACAATAGACCTATCTTTAGGACTGTTATATCTCTCCTACACAGACTTACAATAGACCTATCTTTAGGACTGTTATATCTCTCCTACACAGACTTACAATAGACCCATCTTTAGGACTGTTATATCCCTCCTACACAGACTTACAATAGACCTATCTTTAGGACTGTTATATCTCTCCTACACAGACTTACAATAGACCCATCTTTAGGACTGTTATATCTCTCCTACACAGACTTACAATAGACCTATCTTTAGGACTGTTATATCTCTCCTACACAGACTTACAATAGACCTATCTTTAGGACTGTTATATCTCTCCTACACAGACTTACAATAGACCTATCTTTAGGACTGTTATATCTCTCCTACACAGACTTACAAGAGACCTATCTTTAGGACTGTTATATCTCTCCTACACAGACTTACAATAGACCTATCTTTAGGCCTATCT